ATTCAGTTCAATAAGGTAACTATTCAATTCAGTAAGGTAACCATTATTACTGACATTCTGGAAGAGGAAAATTCTTGATCTTCAAGAATTACTAGAATCTAAAGTTATAAACAGTACACTCATCATGGCTTATAAAATGACCCAGCAATTGGACTGACAATCTGTAATAATTTATGTTCCAACAAGTATTCGTTATATATGATGTGACCTTCCCAACCCTAAATTCAATTTAACTCCCTGTGAGATAATGAGACCCATGAGGTAGGTCTGGGGTTGGGGAGAGTAAGGGAAGTTCACCAAACCTAATTAAACATGAAATGCAATACAAGAAATCTAAAACTTCAGTGATGAAATTCTTCAAATACTATATGTTTCAGAATTTGAGAGTGTTTATTAAAATTAGGTTGTCCACGCTGTAATTCAACTAACTGCAACACGATGCCTCGGGGAGAAGGAAGGCTGGGTGCGTTTCAGGACTGGGAACGAGCACCATGCTTTTAACAGGATGTTTGTGTGTACACTGTACTGAACAGTGGGAGTTAATGCTTTAATAAAAATAGAAACGGCACTGTTAAAACAGTTCTTGGTGGGGAACAGCTTCACAGACAGGTTCTACACTTCATTAAAAGATGTAATTCGGTAGTTAGCTTATTATTACTGGAACTCTGTACTACTACAAGCTAGATGGCAGCTTCAAAACTTATTTAACACTAAGATTTTGGAATTTAGTGGTAAGTAGTAAAACTACTATTTAATAACACTACCTACGAGAGCCACAATAGCGACCAACACTGAGGATGTTCGTGTGTTGTATAACATGCTCTCATTTAATCCTTTCAACAATCTCATCAACTAGCTAATATTATCCCCAATTTAAGATACAGAAACCCTCTAAGAAATTAGGCAACACCCGGTATCACATGGTTAATCTGGGACAGAACTAAGATTCATACCCAGGGCTTTATCATTCTAAAGTCAATGTTCTTTATGACACACCACACTACTAATATCAGCTTAGTAACCTGACATAAAAGGTATATATAACTCCATTATAATTAAGATATCAGCTTATGGAATAAGATATTCCCTTTCTATACAGCACCAAACAGATTCTTGATATAATTATTTGATTTCTGGGTAAAAGAATAATTACAAAATTTAATCTTGCCCATAAAGAAATGTTTAAAGCTAAGAAGGAGGAAAGCTAGATTTGATTCATTTGAAGACATGGTCTACCAAAATGTTACCTTCAGCTAAGTTTCTTAAGAAGCCCAAAAGTGATAATCATAAGCCAAGGCAACCAACAGGCATCCATACAGACAAACCAGGGCTGCTGACTGTACCGGATCTGCCATACGTGCAGCTAACAAGGAGAAGAAACAGGTATTTTCGCCTCTAAATAGTAGAGGCTATGGGACCTAGGGTTAGGGGCATAGAGTGCAGCCATTCCTCTAGTAAAAGCCCCCTATCCCTTTTTTTGAAGCTAGAATACAATGAAGCAGTACCTTGAAGATTCACAAGGAAAAATTATGTCCAACAAAGAATTATTTGCCCAGCCAAATTATCAGTCAAGTGTCAGGTTAGGCAAAAAAGGCAGCAAAGTTTAAAAGTTTTCCTCCCGTGCATATATATTTTCTCAAGAAATTTGTAGAGGAGTTGCTCTACTAACCAAGAAAGAGGAAGAGAAGAGATCCAAGAATTCCCAGGAGGATCGACGGGCAAAGGAAAATACTAGGATGATAAGTGCGTGGCAGGCACAGGAAGCAACCAACTCAGGCTGCGGAGCTCCGCCAGAGACATAATCAAGTAAAAATGAAAATGACAGCCACCTTAAATTGGGAGGAAATGTACGTTTCCAAATGGAGATGAATCAATGACAGGGTACAGAAAAAACCAGGGAACAAAACACAGTCATTTTTATAAACATCATTATAATTAACTCCAGGAAAAATAAAACCTTATAGAAGGAAATGTAAAAATGGTATGCTGGACCTCAGTGACAAATACTTACATACGCATAAAATGTACACATTGAACAACATGGACAACCAACAACAGTGTCAAAACTGTACTGGAAATTAGCGAAAGGACACGTGCATGTGATTGGGGCTGGGTGCTAACAGTGTAATTAATCTAAATCATCATTTTCCAAAACACGAAGTCTATACACATCATCTAAAATTGAAACAAAAAGTAAGAAATAGAAGAATAAGCATGACATATTACAATGCCAGAAGTGAAAAATTATCTCCAGGGAGTCTGAACAGGGAAAGGGTATAGGGAGGGAGCAAGCAGAGAAGTGACTGTTTTTCATTATAAACCTTGTTAAATCCAACTTTTTAAAGTAGATACACATGTTATTTTAACTTAAAAATGTAGCTTAAAAATAATTTTATAAAATTATGATAAACTGAAGAAAAGCAAAGTAAAAACTAATTCATTATAATTTCAAAGTTAAGATTAAAAGTTTTAACAGCAATTTTTCTTTCCAAATAAAAAGAACACAATTCCTAATAAAACCAGTGTAAGGAACACTAGATTTAAGACAGTGTGTCTCTTAAATTCACTTTGCCACTACAATTCTTATAGCATTCTGCCTCATGACTGAATTCATTTTATTCTCAACTAGCACTCTCTATATGGTTTACCTAAAATTAAATTGTGCCAGAATTGTCAACTCTCAGATTCAAGTAAGATGGCTTATCACATATACATATCACCCTGTATTGCACACACACAATACTTAGAAGTAGTTTCTTGCCTTTCTTCTGTCCTAGTCCTATAGATCTCCAGATGCTCACAGTGCCACGTGGAATATATTTTCAATGGGTAGAATTCCTTTTTCTTTTTCCAATTTCTTCATAAAGCTTATGAGGAAAGTTTTTGCTTCAGAGATTCAATTATTTTACTCTTAGAGGAAAATGAATGCCTTCAAATACTTTACTGTTACCTAAAAATTATTTATAACAAAGTATTTCTAATCTTGATGATGAATAGGTCAGTGGCAGTAAGTTATTTTCAGATTTTTAAATTTTGATTATGTATTTTGAATCTGGTAAAAATAAATTAACAAAGCTAATATAGCAAAGTGACTGCCTTCTCTCTGGAGGCACATTTCTCTTATGACCATTCCCTCCTTTATTCTAGTCTATGTACTCAATTTTTCATAACCAAACTATTCCAATGTTCTTATTAACACTAAATCTAAAAATATTTTTTGGAGCAGTAGCATTTATATCAAAGGGAATTTTTAATGGTCATTGTCCTAACACCAAGGAGTATGAATTTTTAGGAATAGTCATAATTTTTTCATACAGCCAATTAATATTAATAGGTACTTACTGGGTTGGCTACCGGGAAGGATTCAAAGACAGAAAATTCATGTTTTCAACCCTCAGCAAGCTTAAAATCTAATAGAGAAGTTAAATACCCAAAGGAAAAAAGAAAAACAAAATAGCAACAGCAGCAATCAAGCTCAAATCTGTGAGCATTATTTCTAACTACAGAAATCCTAGACCAACCCCAAAATAAGGGTGCCCAAGGAAAGGGCAAATCACTGAGGCTTACTCTAGCTCCTGATTCTCCTATTCATTTCCCCAGGGTTCTTTCAGAAGCTATTAAAGAACAGACAAGAAGTTGCATAGATATGTACAAACCTGAAGGGGATTATGTAATTCCTTCTAGAGTATGAAAAAGAGCTAGTACTGAAACTGCTTTCTGCCACAAACAGATCACTATCTGAAGTCAGTGAGTACCATGTTCTTGAGAATTTATAAAGACCATTTGAGCTATTATTTTAAAAAAAAACAAAAAAACAGTAACAGTTTTTGACCTAGGGTACTGGGGGTGTGAGGGAGTGCATCTATACATATTAAGTAAACTGACACACTAAATTGTCTTCCCCAGTTAATGATTTCATATCATTCATGAAAAAGATAATCTGAAGGAAGCTAACAGAAAGTGACAAAAATATGGATTGCTTATTCAATAAACGGCAAAGAGTAAAAATATGGAACATCAAAGTATATAGAAACACTCTTAGTTACTGTACTGTTCTGGATAACCAAATCTGAATGTTGAAAGGCTATAACATTGCTTCAGTGTATTATCAGAAATCCTGAACACCTATTTCTTATTTTGGCTTTACATTCACAATGCTTTTCTTTTGTTATTGTTCTCTCTTGTATGAAGTTCTTTTAAATGGTAGTGATGATGTCACATATTTTACTTGCCTGAGTGAGAAATAAATGAAACAGAACCAAAGAACATAGCTGACAATTACCTTGAATATATTAAACAAAACCTTTACCTTCTAGTAAAGCATAATTTCTTCCAATGCATTTCCCTTTTCTAAGATTAAACTCAGTTTTTCCACTCTAACTATACAAACTCAAAAATCCATTTATGCCAAAGTGGGATCCTATTCCATCCTAGTATCTTCGACAGCATTAACTAGGTAATTACTTTGAAAATATTATCACAAATATTCTTAAATGGTGAATAATTAAATTCTGGATTGAAATCAAAGCAAGGAGTAAGAAGAAAATAGGTACTTTGTCACAAGTTGTAACAAAGTCACTAATACTTTTTAAACACAGCTACAAGAGAGCATGTATAAACTAGGAAAACAGGATTTTTAAGCAAAAGCTAAGAATAAAAATGTCTATAAATGTATTTTAAGTATATAAAAGTGAGAGATATTTTCATGCATGAAATTTTTCAATACTATCCAACAGTCGAGGTAGACAGAACCAGTTATGGTTCTACTACGCAAATCAGCATTTTTCTGTGTTTGCAAAAGGCACAAATTGAATAACCCAATGGAAAGAACATTAGGAAAACTAGGATGGCTAAAGGTTAAAATAATTTTCTGTTCTATTTGCTGTAACTAAAACCTGATTCCTACTTTGGCTTTATAATAAGGGTTTTTGCCCTTGTTACTCTTATTGTTCTTGTGTGTATTTTTTATTGATAGTCATGATGTTACATATGTAACTTGCCTGAGTGAGAAATGAAAGGAACAGAACCAAAAGGATCTTCTGGAGGATGGTTATGTGGAGCAGAAAGTGGCTCTACATTCTTATCTGAGGATGCTCTCTCCTCGAGCCTGTCTGCAAAAATAAGATGAAACAAAACAAAAAATAATATAAAAACAAAACGATCTTTAAATTTAAAAGTGGCATACAGTATAAATAAAAGTGAAAATTAAACAAAGCCTTCTTGAAAAATATGAGATTCAAAGTTCATCTGTTTAAGTATTAGTGGGTAGTCCTGAGTTTAATACATATTTGTTGCTACAAAGGCAAGTTTAACAATGTAATCACAGTGCTAGATTTCACTAAATACAATTAACCTAATAACTTAATTTGGTTTGTTTAAATACCAGTTGTCTTTAACTTGTGACATATTGGATCTGAAGTTAAACCCAGATTATTAAACAGAGACATATTTGGCAAACTTTCTCTGAAAGCACATATGGAAAAAATATTGCAAATGGTCATTCATTCATAAAATAGGTAAATCCTATTTCTCAATAGCAATAAAAAGTAATTCACTATATGTTACTTCATTTTATGTTATTGTTCATTTCTCATATTACTTGGTTAAACCATTCTCATACATACAAATGCAAAGATATAGACATTTCTCTACTAAATTAAAAGTCTTAACAACAGAATTCATTTTTTCATTCAACAAATAGTTGAGCATCTAGCATGTGCCAGGCACTGTTCTAGACAATGGGCATGCAATAGCAAACAAAACGAGGACTCCTGCCCTCATGGAGTTTATATGCTGGCATGGAAAAATGACTGATAAGCAACAAGCATGAGAAATAGAGACTGTTAAAGCTAGAGAGAAAAATGTAGAGCAGGGTAAAAGGAATTAAGGGTGCAGACACAGGTTGCAGTAATAAACAGAGTGAAATAGAGTGATTCTAGCAGGTACCAGGTGAGAAAAGACTCCAAGGAGGCAGGAGTAGATACCTGGGGAAGAACACAACAGGCAGAGGAAGCGCTAGAGCAAAGGCTCGAGGGTGGGAGCAGGTCTGGTATGTCTGAAGAAGATTTAATATATCCTAATTCCCTAGTAGTGATTATTTTTCCCTGCTCTTAAACTCTGCACATCGCAGGCACTTTATCAGTTGAGAACTTCTGGATTTTTATAAAATGCCTATCCTCTGATTCTTGGTAATCAAATATATGCTATTAGGGACCCATTTTGCCCTTACAGATATTTTAAACATTCCCAGGACTATACTTTTCATGTTTAAGGAATTCTACGGGTAAACTATGCTAGTTTCATTTGAGTCCTAAGGGATGGCAGGATGGGGAGGGAGAATCCAAATAGAATTAGAATTCTTTAAAAATGACTCGTAACTGCAGAGTGAAACAAAAAGCCCCAAGTTAAAGCAGCAATCTCCTAGGACAGTGCTTCTCAAATTTAATGTGCATTCTAATCACCTGGGAGTTGTTAAAATGCAGATTCTGACTGGATGGTTCTGCAATGGATCCTGAAATTCTGCAGTTCAACAGGCTTCCAGATGACATGACACTGCTGGTCCAGGGAGCACAAGCTTGAGAAGGCAAGGCCCTAGAGTCTACAATATCCTGAAAATACTCAATTATTGCTATGGACAACTGATTCTTTAAACACCTTTATGATACATTTATGAGCTTTTATGGCTAAAACTAATTCTGCAATATCCACACGAAATTTTAGGTTGTTTAAATTTTTACTTAAAATTTTGTTTGAAGCACTAGTTAATATTTTAAGGCAACACATCTGACAACTGATTTATGCACAAATAAAATTTCCAAAACTTAAGAGGTTATTTTCAAATCCAATACAGAAATGGATAACAATGAAAATTTATTTTAGATGTTCTTTTTCAAGGTGTTCACTGCATACTTAATTCAGGAAATCAGTAACAAATGCTGATTGTACTATGAAAAAAAGCTTTTTCATATTTTCTTGTCCAACATATTTTCTTGTAAACAAGTTACTTTCATAGCAACTTTCTGAAAAAATAAGGCTGGAGAACACCTTATATAACCAAGGGTGTCTTTAATTTATTGTGGTGGGAAGCCACAATCAAACTTTAAGGAGAGGCCTAAGATTCACTGAATCACAGAGGATACCTGTGGGTTACCAATTTTATCAGGCCCTGATAAAATTATACTTATATATATATATATATTTGCATGTAAGTATATAGTTTATAGGTACTTAGGTCAAAATCAGGACCAGATTTCCTTCCTAAACCATCTGCATCATAATTGCCAGGACTCCCGTATAAAATGTATTTATACTCCTGTATAAAACCTGGGTCCTATCACAGACCTAATGAATCAGATTATCTGAGTAGAAGCTTGGGAATCTACATATTAACGTATTCTCCAGGTTTATAAACCACTACTGTTCCAATGGTTCCCAGCATATAAACATGCAAAGTTACCACTAAAGTTCTTTGAATCCTCACGCAGTGATGTATTATCTCCATCTATCTATGGTAAATTCATGGTAAATGTATAAACAGCACCATGTAGTTATGACAAGAGTACAAATACTATCATGTAGGGGTAAACAAATATTTTTTATACATGGGGTCCCCATGAGTTAAAATATGAAGATACTGTTCCATACAAAGTTCATTTATCCAATTATTTCACAACAGGAAGCAGAATAAACTCACTATAAAATGAATCATGCTCTCGTTCCAAAAAACACAGGATCAATTCTTCCATGGAAGATTTTTTAAAAAACATTTAGATTTCTAAAGTTTACATGATAATCTGGGTCCCAGGGCACAAAATAAAAGATAAACATACATATTATTTTTTTTAATTATCAATTACCTATAAATAAAAACTAACAAAATGGTATGTAGAGTTTCAAATACATAGTCACCCCTAAAATGTATTTAAGCTCCATTTTCAAAGAACTGGTTTTCTTTTCATTAGAGCAAAACTTGAGCTTGATTTGTCCAATATAAGAAACTTACCTCTTCCTGCCTTCCCAAAAGAATTGTGTGCTGAATAAAGACAGTATCTTTTCAAGAATTATAATGGATACAGATGGCAAAAATACAGGATTTTAAAATCCTAAAATCAAACTGTATTTCATACTATCATCAGAAAATTAATATACTCTAAAAAGTTAATTCAGCAGCTTATATGGATAATGGCTTGAATAGCCAAAAGGTTAAAGAATAAGGTTTAAAAGTACAGTCTTCATCTGATACTTCTGACACTGTTCTAATATACCTGAAAAGTTCTGTTATTCTGCCCTAAAGGAACAGTGATAGGTCTGAATCAGCTTAAAATGGTGAGAGTTACTGTTTTACAGTAACTATATATACAGATGTTTATATCTATTTCATACTGTGGCTTCAGAAAAAAACACCCAACACATTCAGTAGAATATGCAAAGCAGCCACAGTCTTTAGTTTCTTCCTTTTAGTTATTTTGATGCAATTTTAAACAGAAATAAACAATAAATCCACTATCAACAAGAAAACAATATTCCATCAAGTATTACTTTTAATTAACATGTAGAGCTACACAACTATTCAAACAAATGCAACTTAAAAATTTTCCCAATGCAAAAACCTGTATTCTAATTCGTGTTTAATGTATTAAATATTATGACAATTAGATTTCTGAAGTTTACGTACTAATCTGGATGCTTTGATACAAAAGACCATGAAAAATACAAGCTTAAACTGTAAAAAATACTGAGACTAGCTTTATTAATAACGCTTAATTTCGATTTAATGTTTTAGTCTTAAATAGGAACAGGTAAAAAATTCCAAACCATAAATATTGTTACACTGAAAGCAAAAGCAAGAAGAATTTGATTTATATTTTATATGTTAAATCCCTTTGCCAGCTGGATTCAACTGTTCTCTTAAAGATCACTAAAAAACCGGTTTTTTTATCACCAGTTACTGGTATCTTGGAATTTTAGTATTTCAAAATATAATTTTTAAATTACCTTCTGGAAAATACACACAAGTAAAATATTTCCTAGACAGCACATCTTTTTGCTTTTTTTTTTAATAAATAACCACATACCATTTAAAAACTAAAACCTCAAATGGCAATGTTTTATTCTGAACAATCATTACATGGGCAATGCCTATATTTTTAAGGACCATACATAAAAGTATTCAGCTTCTCTCTGGAAAGCTTTCATAAGCCAAATATAAAAAACCTCAGAAAGGACTTTGAAAAATTGTTGATAAATATCTGTGCTGAGAAAAAAGATAAATTTGATATTCCAAACACACTGATAATTTATTCATTTTGGAAAAAGTTGATAGGGACAGAGGAACCAACCAGTAATGACCAACAATCAATTTTCATTACACCGTTAGTCTACTGAAACTCTTAAGGTTCTAGAAGAGGTCTTTTGCCCATCGGTGTAATTTAAACCCTTATCAAGTAGATCAAATATTAGATACCTTATTGGTTGTGAGTGGAACGGGTGCTAAGATGACTCAATATTACAATAAAGTCAAATCTGGGAGGAAATCTTTCTAAACTATATTCTATACTTTATTGATTTCTTTATAAACTTTATTAAAGACATTTCAGCTTTTTTGAACCCCATTACTATAACTATCAATTATTAAGGGAAAACCAGACATTTTTCCATCTCTTTCCATGCTGTCATACATCACTTCTGCTGTTGATGTGTTTGCCCACAAAGCCCCTTCTATTTGGTTTTTTTAATTGCCAGCTGAGAAACCTGACAGTTTAGATATAATTTTTAAATGCTGGTTATAGAGCAATAACCTCAGGAGTCAGAGCCCAAAGACTTATACAGAAGGTGAGAAAAGCAGAGGTGACATTTATGGAGTGCCCAGACTCTTTAAAGACATTATTTAATCTTCTTGACAACCCTATGAAGTAAGCATCATTATACCCAGTTTATAAATAAGTAAGTGAAACAGCAGTTAGGTGACTTTACAGAGGTAAACCTAGTTAAATGACTTGGCCAGGTATCAGAATTCACGTTTTCTGGTGCTATGTGCCAATTTCAGTACACTGTCCTTGTGACAGTGATTTCAATAGCTCGGGGACCATCTAGGCAGTTTCCTGAATGGCTGAGTTGCTCCATGTCTGACCTCCAGATAAAGTTCCTCCTGCACTGACATCTGGAACTTAGTATCTTTCCATATCTAATGCTGCAATGAAGTCTGAACTCCCTTGGCATACACATGTGTATACAAACACATACACAAATTACACATGTAATCAGACCTTAAAGTTTGAAAGCAAATAGCTGGTTAAGAGTTTTACATGCTAAATCCAATTTTTATGAAGTTAGGTATACATGAATATTTGTATGCCATTCTTGCCTATGCAAAGTAACTAACACTTGGGTGTCACTACAAATTCTAGGGAGCTTAGAATAACATTTTTATAAGGCACAAAAAAATGTGAATACTTTACCCATTCCATAAATTGATTTATTTTTTAAAAACAGTGGGGAGGGGAATGTTCACCCAAAGAGTAGAAAACACTGATTTAGCAAACCTTAGTTACTATCCTGGTCAGAATACATTAAAATGAATATCTTAATTTTCCCTTTTGCTTTAAAAATAATTCTGTAAATTACAATGATTGGTTACCCCCTGTATCTCCCTATCACCTCCCTAAAGGAAAGAGATATTTTACTTCCTTTTTTAAATATCTTGCTCTGGGGACCACTCAACATAAATTGTAGGAAAAATGCCAAACAAAAATGTTGTAGTTTAAAACAAATTTTTTTAATAAAAAAAAAAATGTAAGATTGGTTTTACCAAAGTCAACAAACCTTTATTAAAGGCTCAGAACTCATTTTTATATCTGCATTTAATCAATTTAATTTTTCATAATCATATAACCAATATGTAAAATACCAATTTAAATTCCAAACAACTATTCTTACATGAATTCAGGGCATTTACAAACTTTATATAAAATATATACCAATTTGGAACAAAGTACTTCATCTAATTAATGTTCTCATAAGGCCAGTTACCTAAAATAAAATAGAAACTAGGAACTATACCTAGGGACCATCAAGACCCTCTTTTCACATGCAAAATGGGGAAACACACTGGACACACACATGCACACACACACCCCCAAGACTCAGAAACCTGACAATTATCTATAGACGCTCCAGGAGTGAGCTTTTTGCTACTGTTTTGCAACCTCCCCAAAATACTCCATACATACCTTTTCCAAAAAATAACTTCTAAAATATGTATAGCGAGACTTGACATATATATTAGGTAGTTTAAGATAAGGCAATGACTGCAAGTAAAAACATTGAGATATCTGATTTAAAATGGAAAAGAATTTATTTCACTTTTGCCATACCAGGACAACAAGGCAGCCCGTTTATGTCACCACTCATTAAAGGGACATTACAAAACATTAACATAATGTAGTAGCCATGTTTTCTTTCAGGCACTTTCAAAGGGCATCTCAGACCCACAATATCTTCTACTGAGTGTGCAAGAAAACAGAGCTGCAAAATGATTAGTAAGGCAAGATACTAATCTCTCCCTTTTTATTTGAGCATTAATTTTCCATTTTTTGGAGATTTCTGAATTAACATTCAAAGATATGCAGTATTTAAGTGCTCGGAATTAGCATATTATCAGCAATCTTGGGTTTAACAGCTACTATCAAGCAATTGATTTCTAAAGCACACAATATAGTTTGATAGTATATGTAAAAGAAGATGGCCTGAATTTTGCCCTCAAATGCACAAAAAGAATTTTCTCTTTACCATCCCAGAACAGTCTTTGGCCTTGCTGAATAATTATAGAGCTGTTATTTTACTGTGAAGCAAAATAAGCCTTCAAGTGTCCCTTACTTGATCTTAGAAGGTCAAATTCTCTGTCCAACAGTTCCTCTTCTGTTAACTTGGAGAAATTATCCTCTCCAAAAGGATTCCACCCTGACATATCAGGTGGGTTACTGATGTTCTTCTGATTTGTAATATTTGCAACTGCCTCTTTATCAGCAACTGACCTAGAGTAAAAATTAAGAGAGGAAAAAAATACATTATAATTGAAAATTTTAAAGTTTCCTAGTTCATACTTTATAAACACTTGGAAAAGCAGATGATTTTATTATGATGGAGGTGGCAGTAAGGGCATGGATTGGAAAGGAGACCACATGGGATTTGAATCACCTCCATAAAGGTCACTAGCTGTGTACCCTTGGGCAAGTTCCTTAACTTCTCTAGGTCTCAACTTCCTTATCTGTGAAACAAGAGTAGCAGTATCCACCTCATAGGGTTACTGGGAAGATTAAATGATTTAATACATGTAAAGCAGAGAGAACATAAATAAATAAATAAGCACTCATTAAATATTAACTATTATTTATCATAGTGAATAAACCTTAAAGTGAAAATCAGTTCCCATATCAAACAGTATCACTCTAAAATCACTACTGAATAAGGTGATTTTATGTCCTGGTTATGCTGAGAGACATCACAATAATTTTCCTTTTGACAAAGACATTCTATTCTCTACATAGCTACCAACAAAAGGTGAGCTGCTAGAATTGCTTTATGAATTGCCTAAAACTAGAGGAGGGTTATTTTCTATATAATAAATTATTCGTGGTGTTTAAAATATCTATAGTCTGGGGCTTCCCTGGTGGCGCAGTGGTTGAGAGTCCGCCTGCAGATGCAGGGGACACGGGTTCGTGCCCCGGTCCGGGAAGATCCCACATGCCGCAGAGCGGCTGGGCCCGTGAGCCATGGCCGCTGAGCCTGCGCGTCCGGAGCCTGTGCTCCGCAACGGGAGAGGCCACAACAGTGAGAGGCCCGCATACCGCAAAAACAAACAAACAAACAACAACAAAAAAATCTATAGTCTGGAGCCTAGGACTACTGGTTCTATGAAATTTATCCAATAGGCCTCTTGGCTTTTAATAGAAGATGAGCGTTTAAAGCCTTCTTAACCTAAGAATACCTGGGTACCTCTCCCTCAACCCAGCCTGGAAATACAGCATAGGCACGAGGCAGTATAACAAAGTTGTCAAGTTCATTTAACAATTCAGATCCAGACCTTCTAACACCGGTAATGGAGGGAGAATCTCTATGTGCTTCTAAAGAAGTATCTCAATTTTGCAAGCCTTGACTCATCCCCTTAAATTCACCTTCCCCTTGGGAGCTCACTTCCATTGCCACCACACAGATCTTGAAAGGGAAGAAAGGGCAAAAGTTGCCCATTTAATCCCCTAGCCCAAGCCCCTTCAGTATAGTTGAGCCAAGAATGGAACGTTTGAACACTCACTGAAAGCTAGAATTGGCCAACTAGTAGATAGTCTTTCTAGTAAATATAACTTAGGTATCTTAATAATAAATGTAATTCAGTTTAGAACCCACTCTAGGAATGCATCAACTGCCTCCGTATGAAGGAATCCCATCTCTAATTCCAAAACTACCTTCAAGGACTTTCCAAGTTCTAGAAACACAGATAAGAGAGGTTAAAACTCAAAGAGAAATGGGCATGCCCCTCCTGCCTGTCAATGATCCTTTTACAACTTTAGAATTCCCGATCTGAATCATCTTCCTCCTGTTCCTGGAATGAATTTATGGATGCTTCTTCGTAGACTGTAACTCAAGGGAGGGTGTCACCTTAACCTACACTTCAAACACGTGTTAAAATACGTCTGCAAGTTCTTTGACACTCCTCCCTTCAAAGGGTGGAACCAAATTCCCCTGCCCTTGAATGTGGGCTAGATCTAGTGACTCAGATAACAAATGAAATATGGTGGAAGTGCCAACGTGTGACTTCTGAGACTAGATCATAAAAGGCATCAAAGGTTCCTCCTTGCCCTCTCTTTTGGACCACGTGTTCTGAAAGAAACCAGAATAAACAATTCCTTGTTCAAAACAGTCTTTGATTTTGCCAAAGAGAATACTCAAGCAGCCTTTTAGAGAGATCCATGTGACAAAAAACTGAGGCCTCCTGCCCAAAGCCATGTGAGTGACCTTACAAACAGATCCACCAGTACCAGGCAAGCCTTCAGTGGACTGCAGCCCCAGCCAACATCTTAACTGTAACCTCATGAGAGACCCTTCCCTGGTCATAACCATACAGGTAAGCTACTCCTAAATTCCTGATCCAAAGAAAGTGTGTGAGATAATAAATGTTTATCATCGTTTTAAACTACTAAGTTTGTCAAACAAAGAATGTCTTAACATATAAGCTAATAATTTTCTTAGCCTTAAATGCTGCTGGATGTTGCTAAGCCTTATTTGCAAATAGCCGTTAGCAGAATTAACTGATGGAAATGGAAAGAAGGATGGAGATGCAAAGGGGTCAGGAGAGAGGACTAGTAAGAGAACAAAGGGAACTCTAAGATGGGCTCTAAATTAATTCAGGAGCCACTTAGTGACTCTACTCCATGATAACACCCACTGCCACAATCATTTCCTTTGTATTCAATGGAAAAATACTTGCCTATTGGCACTATAAGAGGAGTCCATTATGGTTCCAACCTGAGCTGGAAGTGATGAAGTGTAGGACACTAAGGCTGGTGAGAACTCTTGAGGGGAAGTGAGATATTCTGGTGATGCCTGTTGTTGAGACTGCTGATGTTGAGCTAGCATTTGCTGCTGCAAGAAAGCCTGCTGATACTGCTGCATCTGAAACAAAAAATGCCGTTATACAAAACAATGCTCAAGGTCACTAAAGCACTGTTAGCATTGCCCCTATTTACTATGCTCTTTCCTTTTCACACTGGCAACAAAATCAGAAACATGAAAAACAATTTTTATCTGAAGGAGCGGCTCGCTACTAGAAAACTACAAGGTGAAATAAATCTAAAGGACTCCCCTGGTGGTCCAGTGGTTAAGACTTTGCCTTCCAGGGCAGGGAGAGCGGGTTCGATCCCTGGGGGAACTAAGATCCCACATGCCTGGCGGCCAAAAAACCAAAACAGAAATAAATCTATTTAAGAAGTTGTTTAACTGGACTTACTGTGGTGATCATTTTGTAATATGTCCAAATATCGAAATATTACGTTATCTCAGGTAGACAGTTTCAGGTAAACGAATATAATCTTATGTCAATTATACCTCAATTAAAAAAAAAAGGAACTGGAAAGTTAGCGTCACCTGGCAGGATTCAAAAATTCTCCTTTAAATAGTTTAATAAAAAATGATATGGTAGTTTAAAGTCACTTGGTATAGCAGTTGCTGTAAAAACAGGTCAAACTATTCTCTGAAGCAAATGCAACTTTCCTTTGGGTTTCTTTTCTTTTCTTTTCTTCAACAGACATTTGCCAAATGAGAGAGACATATGACAAGAGATCCTGGGTAACCAATCATCTCCTTATACTATCAGATAAGATGTGCCAGATCCACGTTCAGCCCAATGTAAAGCTGCTTGAGAATACATATCTGGCTTTGATAAAATACATGTTAATAAACTAAGGAGTTGATTCTGAATTATTAAATTCTGAATAATACAATTCGTACTGTGAATTCCAACACTGGAATGTATACTCAGAGAGAAATCTCTAGAAATTACATAACGCTTACCATTGTAGGATACTGTGATGCAGAAGGTTGCGGCTGATATACTGAATGCATTAAAAACTGTTGTTGAAGTATCTGTTGCTGTTGCACTGCATGTTGATACTACAATTGGAAAAACAAACTCATCAGTATTACTCGTGCCTTTTTTGTGCGAGAACCTTTTTTTTTAGGTATTGATCTTACCATAACAATGACTTGGGTACTCAATAGTCCAAACACTAATGTAAGATACCTATAGTCAGTAAGTGACTATAACTTAAATCAGCTTATTGGAATTGGTTTCAAAATTATCAATGAAACATAACAGATTCAACTAAAACCATCTCCAGCACAGTTTAAGGATGTCTGGAAGAAACCTAAACCTAAACACGTTTACCAGCTAATGAAGACCCCTGAAGTGACTTGTGTCCAGGAACCATTACAGTAAATTCCCAAGATCCTCTGTCTCCCCTTCAATGATATCTTCTGGCCATCCAATGGCACCCCTATTTAACTATCCTCCACTCTGGGTCTATCAGTCAAGACCAGAGGACGGGGTACACCCATGAGAAGTAGCATACATATAAACTGGCTCAAAAATAGTTCAGAAAATGATGGAAGGATGATGATGACAGTCATTAAATTTAAAATAGTTTAGTGCTAACTAGAGATGTGCAGGTTCTGATGAGGCAAAGGACAGACTAGAACTTCAGGTCATATTTTTCTATGTCCCTTCCAACTGTAAATGCCAACCCTACACACACACACACACACACACACACACACACACACACACACACACACACCCAACAAAGGCAAAAAAAGAAAAAATAACAAAAACCCAAGACAATATTACTTCTGAAAGTCTTAATATCACCTTTCCAACAATAACATTATTAGGCTATATATATGAACTCAAAATGTAACCTGAAAAAGATAATATTCATCATAAATTGCAGTACTTATTTGCAATGCCAAATGACTGGGTGAACATCGTTTGCTTCAAAAAGCCACGATACAACCTATTACAAAAGGAGTATTCTTGAGTATCTCACAGAATGCAAATAAAATATATATTCTTTTTTTTTAATTTTTTATTTATTTATTTTTGGCTGCGTTGGGTCTTCACTGCTGTGAGAAGGCTTTCTCTAGCTGCGTCGAGTGGGGGCTGCTCTTCGTTGTGGTGCTCAGGCTTCTCACTGCAGTGGCTTCTCTTGTTGTGGAGCGTAAGCTCTAGGCATGCAGGCTTCAGTAGCTGTGGCATGTGGGCTCAGTAGTTGTGGCACACGGGCTTAGTTGCTCCCTGGCATGTGGGATCTTCCCGGACCAGGACTCGAACCCGTGTCCCCTGCATTGGCAGGCTGACTTTTAACCACTGCACCACTACAGAAGTCCAAACTACATATTCTTTTAACAATCAGGAAACTGAGCAAAATGTTTACTCCAATCTACAGTTCAAAGTACCCATGATACAAAAGGGAATTCACTGCTATTCAAGAGCGGCATGAATTCCACAACAGTACTTCTGTATCTCAAGTAACGAAAGAATCACCTGCTGCATATAAGCATCCTGAAGTAGCTGCTGCTGCTGCTGAGGATGACGATGCTGCAGATGAAGCTGCTGCAATCTCCAGTCTCCCTGCTGTAACTGCTGAAGTACTCGATGCTGCTGTGGAGGCTGCTGAGTGGGCCCCTGACCCAGTAAAATCTCAGGGCCATTTCCAGGTCTCAGCGCTCCTATAAGAGGTTTCCGAAAACTTACATTAACATACTCATGACTTCAATAAAATGGCTGCATTTCAAAACACGCATTCCAATAATCATTAACCAAGGCATTCATATCCTCATCTTATAGAAACTTCCATGTGCGTATAGTCTAAAGGGATTATTTACTATAATAAAAGTACCCATGAAAGTTAATTTTGTCAGTTACCACTCGTGAACAAGTCAACATCTCAGAAACACTTAATCTTTCACACTTCATCTCTCCATGAACACACCAACCATGCCAATTTGAAATGCTCCACATTTCTCAACTGTATCATGCACCATCACGAGTCTGCATCTTTGCTGACATGATTCTCTGTCTAAAATGCCACTTTCCACCCACTGCAACTCTTCTTACCTTTAAAGTTTATCTCAAATCTCTCTTCCTTCTTCCTTCCTTTAGTGCTTCCACTCAGTTTATAAAGTTTCTTTTTGCCTTGCACATATTAATTGTTTACATGGTTATTTCCTAACTGAAGGATGGGGTGAAGACTTATTTATTATTTCTTTTAGTGCCCCAAAGAACTTTTTACATAACAGATGTTCAATAAATGCTGCTGTAGTGAATCTACTAACACTGTCTCCTAAACAGGCATTTTTTTATAAGCTTTATAAATTTTACCATAGGAAAATCCTATGAATAAACTTTTGAAATAACCGAAAAAGGATGAGACAGACAACTTCAAAAAGAGGAAATTCAATATACTATAATTTCTATATTCTCTTCCAACAAGTTACCATAAATTCAAATATGACTCTTTAACCCTAAGGGGAGAAAAGGACGGAGAGTGCAAGAAGAGAGAGAGAAGGATTCTTTTTCATCAATGTTAATGTCTTCAAACCTCCACAGGCCTTAAGAATATACAGTGCAGAAAAGACAGTCTCTTCAATAAGTGGTGCTGGGAAAACTGGACAGCTACATGTAAAAGAATGAAATTAGAACACTCCCTAACACCATACACAAAAATAAACTCAAAATGGATTCAAGACCTAAATGTAAGGCCAGAAACTATCAAACTCTTAGAGGAAAACATAGGCAGAACACTCTATGACATAAATCACAGCACAATCCTTTTTGACCCACCTCCTAGAGAAATGGAAATAAAAACAAAAATAAACAAATGGACCTAATGAAACTTAAAAACTTTTGCACAGCAAAGGAAACCATAAACAAGAAGAAAAGACAACCCTCAGAATGGGAGAAAATATTTGCAAATGAAGCAACTGACAAAGGATTAATCTCCAAAATTTACAAGCAGCTCATGCAGCTCAATATCAAAAAAACGAAAAATCCAATCCAAAAACAGGCAGAAGACCTAAATAGACATTTCTCCAAAGAAGATATACAGACTGTCAACAAACACATGGAAGAATGCTCAACATCATTAATCATTAGAGAAATGCAAATCAAAACTACAATATGAGATATCACCTCACACCAGTCAGAATGGCCATCAGCAGATCTACAAACAATAAATGCTGGAGAGTGTGTGGAGAAAAGGGAACCTTCATACACTGTTGGTGGGAATGTAAATTGATACAGCCACTGTGGAGAACAATATGGAGGTTCCTTAAAAAACTAAAAATAGAACTACCATATGACCCAGCAATCCCACTACTGGGCATATACCCTGAAAAAACTATAATTCAAAAAGAGTCATGTACCACAATGTTCACTGCAGCTCTATTTACAATAGCCAGGACATGGAAGCAACCTAAGTGTCCATCGACAGATGAATGGAGAAAGAAGATGTGGCACATATATACAATGGAATATTACTCAGCCATAAAAAGACACGAAATTGAGTTATTTGTAGTGAGGTGGATGGACCTAGAGTCTGTCATACAGAGTGAAGTAAGTCAGAAAGAGAAAAAAAAATACCATATGCTAACACATACATATGGAATCTAAAAAAAAAAAAAAAATGGTCATGAAGAACCTAGGGGCAAGATGGGAATAAAGACGCAGACCTACTAGAGAATGGACTTGAGGATACGGGGAGGGGGAAGGGTAAGCTGGGACAAAGTGAGAGAGTGGTAGTGTATATATGGACATATATACACTACCAAATGTGAAATAGATGGCTAGTGGGAAGCAGCCACATAGCACAGGGAGATCAGCTCGGTGCTTTGTGACCACCTAGAGGGGTGGGATAGGGAGGGTGGGAGGGAGGGAGATGCAAGAGGGAGGAGATATGGGGATATATGTATATGTATAACTGATTCACTTTGTTATAAAGCAGAAACTAACATACCATTGTAAAGCAATTATACTCCAATAAAAATGTTAAAAAAAAAAAAACACTCCACAGGCCTTAAATTCAACACCTCTACGAAAATCGTTTTATAACTATTTCTAATTCTTCCAATTACAAAAAAATGGCATGTTCATTTTAATTATTCTTGAAAATGTTTATAAAAGTACAGGAAGAAAATTAAAACCATAATTCCGCCACACAGACATAACCACGATTAGCCTTTTAAGTGTATTTATTTCCAGTTGGAAGAGTATTAAAAAGTTCAGCTCCTGAGCTATACATTCATCTTTTAAGGCCCTGATGTCTAACTGGAGAACACTTTCAGCTGCAGGTGAAGCGCAATCACAAGCCAATGAGCATCATGCAATAACTCATGGAACTCACCTCTCACCTCACAAACTGTGACTTCTCTTTAGTGTTATCAAGCTGAATAGAGCTCCTTGTTTCTCAAGCCAAGCCCACAGAGCACCGGAGAACTCCCAAAAAACAACACTACAATCCTACATGAAAACCATGCTTCCGAGTACATCATTAAATCCTCATACAATTATTCCCCATTTTGCAAATGATGAAATGAAGGCTCAGAGAAGTTCAGTAAGTTCATGAGTTAAAGACAAATGATAAACTGGAAGAAAATATTTACAATATATTTGGCAAAGAATATTCAGAATACATAAAGATAAAATCTTCAGAGCAATAAAAAGTAAATAAAAAACAAACAATCTCATGGAAAATTGCAAAAGACAATTCACAGAAGAAAACAAATGGTCAGTAAACGTGAAACAGTACCGTTAATCAGGAATATTAAAATAAAATCAAAAATGTTTCACCTGTCAATAGGGAAACATTTTTAAAAAACCAATACTATCAAGTGTCGGTAAAGACAAGGTGAAAGGACACTCACACCTCGTTGGTGCTGTAGCATAAATTTCTGAAGTCTTCTTTGGATGGTAATTTGGCAGTATCTGAATAATTTTAAATGAGTGTACTTTAATAGCTTCCTCAGAAGAATGCTGACATGGAAATCAAGTGTTCATTATATAGATGTTTACCACAACGCTATTAATAATAGCAAACATTGGAAATAACCAAAAAAGTTTTATAAACTATCGTACATTCATATGATGGAATATCACATACCTATTAAAAACTACATGGTAGATCTATATGCACTGATATGCAAAGCTCTCCAAAGTATATTAGGTTTAAAAAAAATCAAGTTGTAGAGAACTATGTATAGTACGAATCCATTTGTGTTTAACCCAACGTGAATTATTTATATCTGTGTATATGCATGCAAGAACATAAAAAAGGACTAGGAGGGTGTATACCTAACTGCTGCTAGTTTACTCTGGAAAGAAAAAGAATGGGGACTTCTACATTGTTCTGAATGCTATTGTATTGTATGAATATATTTTAAAATTTTATTCATGTGTTACTTTTTTTTTTAACATCTTTATTGGAGTATAATTGCTTTACAATGGTATGTTAGTTCCTGCTTTATAACAAAGTGAATCAGCTCTACATATACATGTATCCCCATATCTCCTTCCTCTTGCGTCTCCCTCCCTCCCACCCTCCCTATCCCACCCCTCTAGGTGGTCACAAAGCACCGAGCTGATCTCCCTGTGCTATGCGGCTGCTTCCCACTAGCTATCTATTTTACGTTTGGTAGTGTATATATGTCCATGCCACTCTCTCACTTTGTCACAGCTTACCCTTCGCCCTCCCCATACCCTCAAGTCCATTCTCTAGTAGGTCTGCGTCTTTATTCCCATTCTTGCCCCTAGGTTCTTCATGACTTTTTTTTTTTTAGATTCCGTACTTTTTATATAAGATTTAATGAGAAAAGCAATGTTAAGAGATGTACAGGGCTTCCCTGGTGGCGCAGTGGTTGAGAGTCCGCCTGCCGATGCAGGGGACGCGGGTTCGTGCCCCGGTCCGGGAAGATCCCACATGCCGCAGAGCGGCTGGGCCCGTGAGCCATGGCCGCTGAGCCTGCGCGTCCGGAGCCTGTGCTCCGCAACGGGAGAGGCCACAACAGTGAGAGGCCCGTGTACCGCAAAAAATAAAATAAAACCGAATAGCATCTCCAACCCAAACACTGAATGCTTACCATGAAACAGAATTTTCCTAGATACCATACACCTTGTTATTTACTCTTTATAATAGGCAGAATGGCTGTTTCCCCATTTTACAGAAGAGAACAGTGAGTCTAAGAAATGGTAAAATGGGAATTGGACATAAAAGACTTCAAATTCCCCTTTTGTTCCCTTTTCCCTTTCCCTATTCCTCCATCGGGTATGCCTGATCACCACAGGCTTATGTTACATCAGATAACATAAATGTCTTCCTTGAGCATATACTTTACCTAATAGTAGTAACAGTAGTTAATAGTGAACATTTCTTAAGGACATATTATGTGGCAGGCATTATAGTATGCAGTCATTTAGTCTTCACAACAGTCCCATAAGATAGGTACTAGTATTTTCATAACACATATTACTAAAAAATAGGAGAAATAGGACTCAAATCCAGGTTCTTAAGACTCAACATGTAGGCTTTTAACCATTAGAGTATCCTAATTTAAAACATACTAGTTGAAAATACTTTAACATTAAAGCTTTGTAAGCCTAGAGTTTCAAATTCCTCCTTTCCAATACAATATAGAATTTTCTATACTCTTGAACTTTAGTATCAACCTCGAACCCTACTAGTCGATGACTCTAGAGATAAGCAGGTTGTGAGCTTTTCATACCATACTTTTATACTACCCGTACCTTACTTTTGCTGACAACATTAGGAAAACAATTAGGTGGGTTTATTAGACATTAGTAGCTTTATGTTTCTTAAAGCACTATGTGACATATCTGCTTCACAACAGTAAGTCTGCCAATAATTTACATTTCTAGGAAATCGAGCCATAAAAGGTTTATGTAAATTAACTAAAAAGGGGACGAGGTTGGCAGAGCTGTATCACCTTTTGGTCTGTGGTTACTGAATTCACCAGGAGCTGGGACTTTAACAGGTATTGCTGAACTTTGAATGGTCAGCACACTAGGAGTGGCAGTAGTAGAATTCGCCTTTGGTCTCTGTCTTGGTGCAATTGAGGTTTCTGTTGGTCCAATGGTATCTGTTATTCTACAACAGAAGAACACATGTCATTCCAAATACTGAGATCATTTCTAACTTACTATTTGTTCTATAAAGGATCTATTTCAACAGATGCATATTTATTATTACTGATGGTCATGTTCGTCCTCTTGGCTTCTTCCTAAGTCTCATTTTCAAGTACTAAATGTTTAATGAAGATAAGGAAGTAAATAAAATAAACCTAACCAATTTCCTCAAGCCAGATTGCTACCACTTATAGTCTGCCACCGGAGCTGGCAAAAAAAAGAGTATAGAATTGCTCTTAAGGAGATAAAATAAAGGAAGCAAATAGAAGTCTTCTCAATAAGGTTTTGGACAAAACAGAGCCAACTCTCTAAACCAGTCAGAGAAACAAAAACAAGAAACAACAAACAACAGGCTCCTTTAGCTTGGACTCTTGGCTTAAGAAAAAAAAAAAGAATAGGGCCTAAGGCATGCAAAACAAAAGAAGCCAAAACTTTTAACTGGTGGAGCTATCAGCTCACATTCAGCATCTTAAATCTTTAACTTTGCTTTACTTAAAACACTGAATGGAAATTATATAAAGGTTTTCCCACTAGGACTTAGTTTAGGCCACAAATGTGAGTGGTCAAGTGGAAAGCAGTTTTGAAAGCAAGAGACACTAAATATAATTCAAGAAGACACAGACATTTGCTTTTCTCTTTCAAAAATAGCCAGGAAAAATCTTTAACTTACGTATTTATCAACTCTGCTTTCTATAAATTCAGAACAAAAAACTCGAATACTTCTTAATAGGGTCTATGCTCACTTTTCAAAAGGATTGCAATAAAATCTCTTTATCAAGTTCCCTTAGCACATTTTCAAAATGATCTGACGCTTAAAAGTTTTGCATACTTATGATTTATCAAGTACACATCTGCGGCATTTAGAGGAAGTCCAGTCTATCATAACTGCACAGGACTCTACAGTTCTTTCCTCTATCTGGAGACACCACAAGAGGGAGCCCTCTCAACAACTATCTTCCTCAGAAAGAAAGGATGTGAAATTGAATCAAAAGATTTTGGAAAATCATAGAAATGCACTGTATGTGTGCTGTTTTCTAAAAATAACATTTATGTTTTACACGGGATGGGGATGGTACAAGTCATACGAAAATAGAACTAAAAGGCTATAAAAAGATCATGTATACATGTAACCAATTATATCTCATTTAATCTAGTTATTTATTGAGTTCAAATTATGGATATGGCACTAAAACCAATGCTGTACTCCCTAAACTTAAGTAATTTGGGGGAAATATTGTATACAATCTTTCTATTTGCCTACCCATTCTTCATTAAGTGGGTAGTATATAGGCCAGACCTCACCCTGCCTTGTTCCTGTTCTAAATAGCTCCATAAAGGATTCACAACACACGAGCAGGGCAAACCTCTAAAAAGCATATTAAAAGTTCTGCAGACTTTGTTTAGTCTAGTGTTTCCTAACTTATTTCACTAATGTACCAATATCTATTATACAATTACTGATATCCAGCTAATAGAGCTCAGTCTTCAAAGAATTTACAGCCTACCTAGGAAAATATGGCACATGTTCATGAAAATATAATAAAATATAAGACAGAAAAAGTAACCAGCGCTAAGCTAATACTGTCAAGAGTTTCATGGAGGAGTAATTTTACCTTTAACCTAACTTGGCTAGAGAAGGCGCAGGTGAGAACTGGAGGTTAAACATAAATGTGATTTCATCAGACAGTAAAAGAAAGTAAGCGGTCTATGAAGAAATGGGAGGAGAATGCCTGGACAGATTCAGCAAAGTGAAAATACAAACTTAACTAAAATGAAAGAACGAGTAATTACTGACATCAACACTGCTACTGCAGCTTCCTTTGCACTATTGTAGCAGACAAAGAGCTGTTTTTTTGCTTCCTTTCTTTTCTTTTCTGCTGACTAGCCTGAACAATCTTCCTAAAACACACTCTTCTCTTAAAATCCCTCAGTGTTTCCATCTGCCAGGGCAGTGATTCTCAACCCTTCCATCTTTAAGATATAAATCATATAAGTTTCACATGTGTAACAGTCCCAAGAGCAGATGCAAATTTTGGGGAGGTGGATGGGGGGTTTTAAGAAGTGAAACAAAAAGTGCCACTGACTGAAGGCAGGGCAGGCAGATAATATCCATAAAAGCTTTAAAACATGTAAATAATGATACTGGCTATTTAAAGATTCCCCCTCCTCCCCTCTCTGGAAATATGCCTTTTACATGGAAAAAAAAATGATTTACAACTTTTTAACATTTAGAATTTTTCAACTTCTTTACTGATACTATCAATAAAAAATAAACTTATATTATTGACCAATAAGCACCAATGAACCCTATTTTTTTAATATACATAATGTATAGATTTAACATACTATGACTAGCACTGTGAATTTTAGTTAACTATTTCATTAACTATTTCATTTCCTTATAATTGTATAGCTGTAACGTGTCATGGTGAAAAGATATTCAAAGCATTACTGTTCAGCTGACTCATGCTTTTTAAAAAATTTGTATCTACTTTCTTAAAGATTTAATCATTAACAAAATAATTATTTTAAAATATAAGTAACAATAAAATTCAACTGACAAGTCCTACAATAATTCATAATGACCACTCAACTATAACAGCAGTTGCTAACTACAGCTATGTCATGGGTAAGACAGTCAGTCATGCTGGATTCCTGCAAGTTAGACATCACATTACTCCTTCGTCTCTTACTCAAAAGAGTATTTTAAATTTAAGTGAATGAAGATAATGTTTTTAGAGTGATGCCATATTTTTTTAAAAAAACTAAGTCATTCTCAAGTGATATTTCAATAATTTACAAATAACAGATTATTTATAACACACCTGACAACCAAGTTCCAAATAGTAGAACTGACTGCAAAGTTGAAAACTCACCGGTCTAAAGGCCAAAATCCAAATTTCTCAGCATGACATATAAAGTTGCTCATGACTGATATTTACCTACCCCCTCCTCATCTTCATTTCCCACCACTCCTGTACATGTGCCCTTATTATGCCCCAGCCTCGTAGTTTCACAAAGGCTGTCCTCATCGGCAATGTTTGCCTGCTATGGTTTCACTGCCCATCATTCCAAGTGACTAGACTATTCATCCTTCAAGAAAAGAGTCCAGCAACTCCCACCGGATTCTTCCTGTGCTCCTGTCTTCTTTCCCTTCCTCCACCCTCAGAGCTGCCTGATATCTATCAAGGTGTGACTGTTCACCCGTCTATCTTCATTTGGATCAGAGCTCCTTGGAAATAAACACTGCTGCTTTTTCTTTGTGGTCTCAGTATCTGTATCTTGAATGTAACAAGTGCGTGACAAATATTTTTTATGTATTTTATGTCAAATAAAATACTTTGCATAAGTAAAATACAATACAAAAAACTGTGGCCAAGAAATCTCCCCAAATGTAATATTACACCTGTCTGATAATGTAAAATACAGTCCTGCTTATTAACTTTTAAACTCAAAAAAGAAAGCACGAGAAAAATAAAAAAAATCAGTCATTAATTCAATCATTAGTCAGATTTAGGTCTTAACCTATGTAATTCGTATCAAACATTAATGTAGTAAAGAACTATAAAAATTATTTAAGGGCTTCCCTGGTGGCGCAGTGGTTGAGAGTCCGCCTGCCGATGCAGGGGACACGGGTTCGTGCCCCGGTCCAGGAAGATCCCACATGCCGCGGAGCGGCTGGGTGGGCCCGTGAGCCATAGCCGCTGGGCCTGCGCGTCCGGAGCCTGTGCTCCGCAACGGGAGAGGCCACAACAGTGAGAGGCCCGCGTACCGCAAAAAAAAAAAAAAAAAATTATTTAAAACATTATATTTCTTTATCAGTCTTAAAAGTATTACCATTATAACCACTCATTATAAAATATACATAGCTATTTTTTCTTTCAGTAAATTAAACAAAATCATACTAGCTATTAAGTAAAACATAAAATCTCATAAATTAGTTGCCATGTGACGAAATGACAACTTCCCCCGGTAAAAGGACCCAGTGTAACATCAGCAGTTACACAATCACTTCGTGATTGCTGAGAGGTAGCAGTTCAAGTGCAACTGCTGTCAAACCCTGTTATATAAGAAAGCTTATTCTGTACTTGCAATAAGGAATACGACACTTTTTGTGGGTGAAGATGATATTTAATGAATGACACTTGCTAGGATTAAAAACAAGAACTGTCCTCTTTTTTCTTAAATGCCTTTTCAAATTTCAGCATAGTTTTGCCTACCTGGCTTTTATTTGGCTTTTCCTAGAAGCTGCTTCACTAGCAGTCATCGGTTCAGGAAGAGCTGAAGGAATAGGAGAATTCTTGGAAGAAAAAATAAAACTTTTCATTTTAGTTTTTATTTCAATTGCAGAAAGCTTTACTTAAACACTACAGATACACTCTTAAATTTTAAAAGTATTGTCTGTGAGACAATCTCTTCACCTCAGATATCTATAAATTGTTCACATATATTTGCAAATATCAGTGCATGTTATACAAATGTCATTTTCATATTTGTGTTCCACAAAATTGTTCACATATATTTGCAAATATCAGTGCATGTTAAACAAATGTCACTTTCATATTTGTGTTCCACAGAAACCCTTGGAAAATAAACAGAACAACATCATTATATCCACTTTACAAATGGGTAAATCTTGGGTATAAAGGATTATATTACACTTGTAAATCAATGACTATTTCACACTCTTTGGAAGAAGAAGCAAAACACCAAGCACGTGAATACCGTGTTGTTTTACATACTGCAGGTAATTTTCATGACACTGCTTGTCAAGTCTAGAAAACAAGAGGAGAGGCTTCACTCATTTGTTTATCCTCTATAATGTTTGGCTTATAGTAAGTACTCAATAAATGTTTGCTGAGTGAAAAGCTAAAAATCCAGGCAAATGTCAAATAAAGCTACTTTCATTACAAGAATGTTAGTAATGACTTTCAGCTTCAACCAAGAATATATTATATTGACATAGTAAGAACTTCAAAAAACAAAAAGGAAAAGGTACCAAATTCCTTCTTTTTTCTCAGTGGGGTGGATTAAGTTATACACAAAGGAAACCTATAAAACAAGTCAGGCCAGAATGATCTTCACAATGTTGAGAACAGCTTAAAAATCACTGATGATTCTAGACTTTTATTAAAATTAGCAGACTCGCCATATACCGTTAATCTGATGTAGTTAAGTATGCAGACACCAGATACAATTCAAAGCCTTTGCATGGTAATAGCTATTACCAACTCAGCTTCCCTGCACTAGACACTGGGTTTTACATTTATTATTTCTAATCCTCATAATTACTATCCCTGTTTTACAGAAAAAGTAACAAACTATTAAGTAACTCCCCAAAATATACAAAATCAGTCACTGATAAAGACAGAATTGAACCCAGTTCTCTGCATTTACAACGCCTATGCTCTTTATGCCAAAGGTAACCAAACTTTAGGGTGCTTAGTGTCTCAGTAATTTTTCATGACACCCGGCCCCACCCTGCTCCCCAAAAATCTAACAGTCCTGTTTTTTCAACAGTTAGGCCCAAACAACTTAATAATAGTAGTTTGTGCTGTATCAGACAGAGGTCACTGTGTTTCCCTCAAATATGCAAAACATCCTGCAGTGCCCTCAATCCACTGTAGCTCCCCAGAGCACCACAGTACATAGTTTGGCAACTGTAGCTTTGTATCAAAAATACTAATCACAAACATACCATGAGACCACTTGTCTTGAAACAAGTAACTCTGAAAGTATATATATCCACACAGATAAAATGTGTTTTAAATTCATATCCTACTTGCAAAACTACTTACATTGATGTTGGAGACTGGACAATCCTTTTTGGCAAATTTAAATGCAAAATATGACACTTGAAATATATCGGGTCTACGTTCTGGATCTGGTTCAAGCATGAACCCTGCAAGAATAGATCAAAATGTTAAGACGTTTCATTGAACACGGAAGCAATTAGGGGTACATTAAAAGGATAAAATAAATATATATATATTTCCATTCTAAGAGCAGTGATGATTCCACCAAACTTTGTTAACGTATATAGAAAACATTAGAATTGCTATTTTATACAATATCCCAAACTAAAGACAAACCAGTCCTAGAACAGTTCTGTACTGAAAGTATGAACGACAAATATGAGTATTTTTCTGGGACCCTAACGCAAAAGAAAAAGTAAGTTTAGTGAACACTGGGGAATTATCCAAAAAAGTTCCAGGGCTGTAGTAGGGGTCCTTATTTTCACTATTATCTAAAATACCTCTACTAATTTTTAAGTGCTCCTAAATCATTTAAGAGAAGACTGAATTTGTATGCATTATAGTCTGTTTAACAAAGTAGTAGAGGGTTGGCACTATAATTTTCCTAAAACATGCTTTCTTCCCACGCTGATGATAGCAATATTCATCATAGTTCTGTATTTCAACATGCTATCCACATCATGTTCAGAAGTACAAGCATAATTTCGTGGTTCTATTATGAACAGATTTCACACCAACCCTACAGCATTGCTTGGAAGGCCTGACCTTTTTTCTAACCAAAATGACCACTACCACTTGTCAATTTCTTGAACTACCTGTTAATTTACAATTTCACAAGAAGGCTGACATTTATACTCAATTACATATGTAAAAAAATCCATATTTTGTTAAAGCAGTCTTCATATTCTAACGCTGCTTCATTGATTAACTCTAAGTTCTCATCTTATTCAAATAATTTTTAAACCTATCTGCAATGTAAAATTTACAGCGTTAATTAGATAATATTCTAAAATGTACTAACAAAATTATGTACAGAGATATCAAGGTATATAAACAGCTAAATTAAAATTATAAATCAAAATGAATTAAATCTACCTTTCAAACTTAAGTAATATTTGAACAAACAATGTGTAATACATCTCCAACAGCATGATAAATTTATTTGCTAAAAACATGGTTGTTTGGCAAGTGACACTAAGCACATACAAAAATTTATTTGGGAGATTCTGGACTCGGTTTTATTATATTCTGCATATCACTTGATTTTATTTATTTAAAAAGGCTAACAGATATCACTTACAAAATTGATATTTTACTATTGTATCACCATTGTTATAAATAACTCAGAACATTTAAGTCTAATATTTATTAATGCATATTCAACTTCATTCAAATCCAGAAAAGATCTGAAAAATCTACAAGGTTTATTTCATCCTCCAAAGTTATATTTTATCTTGATACCAACAGATATTACATGTTTTAAAAGTAACAACAGTACATGATATGGGGATAAATTTAAACAGACTTTTACCAATGTGGGTAGAACTGATAACATCTTATAAGCAAACAAAAGGACCTCTAACTCCCCTGGCTCATGTTTCCATGTGGGAATACATCTTCTGGAGGCACTTCCGCTTGCCGAACTGTACTGATACCATTTATGTGACATAAAATCAGCCTAAAAGGTCATGACTAGCATTTGTTTTAGTAAAGTAGAATAGAAAACATTAGAGTGCATTACTGTAAGTATAAGCAGTGTTTCAAGAAACTTGTTTTATGTGTATGTATATGTAAAATGTATTTTTTACCATGGATCACCGTCAAGCGGTTTGAAAACCACTGTGCTAGTGACCTCTATTAGTATAATACAGTCCTCGCCAAGGGAAAGACAGTGATTTGTCTAATTTAGACTAGAAGAAAAGAAATAGGCACCTACACGTGTCCATCTCTGTTGCTCTTTCTTTCAACAGTTTATTCTCAGGACATGTATGTTCTCTACAGAACCATGTTTTGCCAAGTGGCCTACTTCTGTGGAAGCAGTCCATGGTTTTCCAACATTGTCTATGACTCTGTGAGAGTATATCTGGGGGTTGTATATGCATTAATAGGCCCATTTGGCTTCAGAGTCCCTTCTGCAATCTGCTTTGTCATTTTATCTAATGAGATCCTGTGCCCCATCTCTAATTTGGTTCTAAATTCAAAGTATAAAGAGGCTGAAACCCACAGTAGACCATGGTTACATTTTTATCTCTGAATATTTTTATATTGAAGGTTATCAGCCATTTAAAAAAAAAGAAAAAAATCTCAATAAGGCACTGTTAAAGCACTTAATAATGTAATTTTTCAAACTCTCCAAAAGAATGGATTGCAAAATGTACTCCTAGATTACTGAATGATGTAATCTGGAGTGTAGAGGTATCAGTTCTAATCCAGCTAAACACTGGAGCATATCTACCAAAAATGACAATTTCAATTTTTAAGTAGTTGATCCAAAGCCATTTTCTCTCACAATAATTAAACCTCAAGTCTAGTGTTTTATTAACTCCTACTTCATGACAATAAAACCATTTCATCTATAGAAATATGCTCCTGAGGAGAAGGAGTGGATTAAGGAATACATGTGTCTAATTCATCCAAAAGTGAATCAAGTAATTAAGTTTTGTTTTTGTTTTTGTTTTTTTGCAGTACGCGGGCCTCTCACTGTTGTGGCCTCCCGTTGCGGAGCACAGGCTCCAGACGCGCAGGCTCAGCGGCCATGGCTCACGGGCCCAGCCGCTCCGCGGCATGTGGGATCTTCCCGGACCGGGGCACGAACCCGTGTCCCCTGCATCGGCAGGCGGACTCTCAACCACTGCACCACCAGGGAAGCCCCCTAGTAATTAAGTTTTTTAAAAAAGACAGAGAAGCTAGAATACACCCTTGTTTACCCAACTTAATATGATCATGTGAGTCAGCACAAGACCATTCCCATTAACCTTGATTCTACTGTAAATATAAAATCGACCTTTAAAAAGTAAGCCATAATAGAAATGTAAGGATATTTCTCTGCTCCTCTTACTTGTGTGACTCTTTCTATTGACACAAATATCACTAACTCAACCTAAGAACACAAAACAGTCTCAGCACTGAAGGTACTATATGACTAAACCACCACAGTATTTCCAACTGATGTATCAGACTATCTGATAAAAATCACTTGCCCAAGGCAACTGAATTAATTATGCTTATTCTAATTTTGCAAAGGAAAGTACACCATCCATGCATATTCTAGCAAAAAGAGCAGCTAAAGGAGCAGTGGCTGCTGCAGCACAGCAGTGGCCAAGTTAACCCTACGGTTACATCGAGGACGCACACCAAAAATTAAATGAAGTAGTTTCCATTCAAGTTACCTAAAATGATGGATCCATACCGGGTCCTAAGTAAAAGTTAAACCAGCATCTCTAATCTAACAGCTCAACAAATTTAACAGGAAAATACTTTGGACAGAGGTCTCAAAAGAATGTTCCTGCTTAAAATTTGTTAATATTTTTTCCTTCCACAAAGACACTTTTTCTCTCCCACAGACTTCCAGCTATTACACTTATAGTAATTTACCTGAAAAGAGAACTACCCACTCTAATTTTGCAATCATAAATACTTCAAGCATTAACTTGTTATTTTTGTCTGTTGACCTATGGAAAGTATTATAGAAACTTACATGTTAGGCAAAGATGTTCTACAAACCTTATTCTATGGACTGTTGAAATGAAACCAAATTTAGCAGCTAATTAAATAAATGTGTTCAATCATAATGTAAAGACTAATGGCACTATAAATATGCCAGGATAGTATATTTGGGATAGCCCTGGTAGCTGTTCCTAAAAGTTATTGATCACAGCCCTCTCTTTACATCTCCCCAAATGGTAACCCAGAGCCAATGACTGAAAACCTTCAAGGAAACCCTATCTTAATCTCTGATTTCTTTTCAAAGGTACATTAAAATGTCTGAGATTTTTTTCAACAAAAAAATATATAGGAAGACAGTGGGTGAAGAGCATAAATGAAGCAAGATTGGCCATGAGTTGATAATCACTGAAGCTGGGCGGCAGGTACATGATAAACCACTGCACTGTTCTGCCTATATTTATATGTATTTTTTAACTTCCATAATGAATTTTAAGTGTATCTAAATAAGCAAGTTCCTGGTTTCCCACAGAAAACAGGTATTAAAATAAATGTACTTATTATCAAAACAACAAGAAATAACAAGTGTTGGTAGAATGTGGAAAAAAGGGAACCCTTGTGCAATGCTGGTGGGAATGTAAATTGGTACAGCTACTGTGGTAAACAGTACAGAGGTCTTTCAAAAAGTTGAAAATAGAGTACCATATAATCCATCAATTCTCCTTCTGAGTATGTATCTGAAGGAAACAAAAACACTAACTCAAAAAGATATCTGCTCCCCCGTGTTCACTGCAGCATTATTTACAAAAGCCAAGATATGGAAGCAACCTAAGTATCCATCAATGGATGAATGGATAAAGAAAATGAGAGGCATACACACACACACAAACACACACACACACACACACACACACACACACACCATGGAAATATTACTCAGTCACTAAAAAAAGAGAAGGAAATCTTGCCATCTGCAACAACATGAATGAACGTGAGGGCATTAGGCTAAGTGAAATTGGTCAGACAGACAACAAATACCATATGATCTCACTTAAAAAAAAAAAAAAGACAGATACAGAGAACAGACTGGTTCATTATATATCACTATTTCATGCACAAAGTTAAGAGTTAAGAAAATTAATCTTAGTAGTTACATTTAACAGTATATTCTGGAATATATGATAAATTATGGTAAACGTTTGATATCCAACCTTAACCTGAAAAACCAAGTTTGGCTTCAAAGCATCCAAAGAAATCTCTGCAGGGAAAGTACATCCTACTTAGTATCTGACAGCAGATGCCCTGACCCTCACCCAGAAAATCAAAAATTAGGTTAGCTCAGGAAGAATTATAATGACGTCAGTAGTAGTGGTAGTGGGAGCTATAGTAGTAATAATGATAGTAGTATTAAAGGCCATTTCTTTCTGAGTACTCACACATACTAAGAAGCACTTCTCATAATTCATTTAATTTTCACAATAAC